TCGTTTCCCTTTCACAGGTGATTTTAGTTTTGGGAAAAGCCAGAAGGCAAAGGGCACCAAATCTAGGCTGTAGGGGACTAAGTCACCTGGGTAGTTTGATGTTTCACCAAAAAAAACTGCAGGAGATGTGATCATGAACAGGTGTATTGTCTTGATGAAGCTGCCAATCCCCAGCTGCCCATAGCTGTGGCCTTCTGCATCATCTGGTAGTTTCCATGAGGGAATGTTCAAGCTGAATGCAAAATCTGATGTACATATGTTGTTCTACTTGCTCAGTCAGGTTGAATGCAACAGCCACACAGTGCACATGCTCACTCAATGGCATCTACCACCTTCACTGACTAGTGCAGTGAAGTCATCGTTGTTCACACATGCGCATTCCAGTCCACTCTCCTTGGCTGCCAGGTTACACTGATGTCATGCAAACTGTTCTTGTTATTATTAACAATGGCTGGCCTTTTTCCAGACATCTCATACGTAGGTACCTTAAGCAATTTATACTTAAACATAATTAATTCATCCATTCTCCTGGTGATGGACATTTAGGCTGTTTCCAATTAATAGCTATGATGAACAATGTTGCTATAGACACTTTTTGTGCATTTCATCTGGTTTATATAATACTGACTCCAGAGCCATACGTGTTTTCAGTTTTACTAGATATTGACAAATTATTCTCCAAATTCTCCAATTTGTCCACTCTACATCAAACTAGAAAGCTTCCACGCAGCAAAGGAAAGCATTAACAAAATAAAAGGCAATCTAAGGAATTGGAGAAAATATTTGCAAATCATGTATCTGAAAAGGGATTAACATCCAAGATGTGTAGGACTCATACAACTCATCATCAAACAGTATGATTAAAAAATGGGCAGAGGGTCTGAATAGACATTTTTCCAGAAGAGACCTACAGATGATTCACTGGTAGGTGAAAAGGTGCTCAGCCTCATTAATCATCAGGGAAATGCAAATCAAAACCACAGTGAACTATTGCCTTACACCTGTTAGGATGGCTATTGTCAAAAAGATGGCAAGGATGTGAAGAAAAGGGAACCATTGGGCACTGTTGGTGGGAATGTAAATTAGTGCAGCCACTGTCAAAAACAATATGGAAATTCCTCAGAAAATTAAAAATAGAACTACCATATGATCCAGCAATTCCACTTCTGGGTATTTAGCCAAAGGAAACAAACAAACAAAAAAACTAACTCAAAAAGGTACCTGCACCCCAGTGTTCACTGCAGCATTATTTACAATAGCCAATACATGGAAACAACCAAAGTGTCCACTGATAGGCGAACTGATAAAGAAGATGTGCTATATACGATTGAATATTATTTAGCCATAAAAAAAGAAATATGGACTTCCGCCAAGATGGAGGATTAAGGTGGATGTGCCTGCCTCCTCTCACAACCAAGTTTAAGGACAACTAAATATTAGCATCAGAAAACACAACCAGAACACGGAAAACTGAACTTTTCGGAAGTCCGCAAACAACAAATTCTTCGGCCCGGCCGGTAAGGGGCGAAACCGGCGGCGGGTGAGGAGTTACAAAGGAGAACTCGATTGACCCGGGCGCGGGCGCGGAATCCAGACGCGCGACTTTTCGGAAGCCCGCAAACAACAAATTCTTCGGCCCGGCCGGTAAGGGGCGAAACCAGCGGCGGGTGAGGAGTTACAAAGGAGAACTTGATCGACCCGGGCGCGGGCGCGGAATCCAGTCGCGCGAATCCAGTCGCACGGGTTCCAAACCCAGGATTGGACCTAGTGAGCAGCCCACCGGGTGAGCGACTACGGAGGAGTCAGTGGGGAGGCGGTGGCAGCGAGTTGACTGTGGGTGCCCGGTTACGCGCGGGTGAGGGAGTGAGCGGGGGACCTGCGGCGGCGCCATTTTCCCCGCTCTGACCACGCCCCCACATACAGCGTCACAACCCAGCGACCTGGGACTCCAAGGCGCCGCTTCTCTCACTTAAAGGGCCAGAACAGACCAAAAATGTCGCAGGGGGTCCTCAAAGTCCCGGAGATAAATCTAAGTGACGAAGAAATAGCAAAACTCTCAGACGCACAGTTTAAAACACTGGTCGTCAGCTTCCTCACAGATCTGGTGGACTATAGCCACAAATTAGAGAAACATATGAAGGCTAAATTAAGGGAAATGAATGGAATTCCACAGGAAACCCATAGAGATGAAAAAAAACTGGGACTCAACTCAATGGAGTGAACCAGAAGGAAGAAAAAATGATCAATCAGAAAGGAATGAAGAAATAAGAATTCAGAAAAATGAGGAGAAGCTTAGGAACTTCCAGGACATCTATAAACGCTCCAATATCCGAATTATAGGGGTACCAGAAGGGGGAAAGACACAACCACCAGTGGAAAAACTATTTGAACAAATAATAAAAGAAAATTTCCCCAATCTGGCAAAGGAAACAGACTTCCAAGAAATCCAAGAAGCCCAGAGAGTACCAAAAAAGTTGGACTCAAGAAGGAACACACCAAGGCATATCATAATTACATTAGCCAAAATTAAAACGAAGGAGAGAATCCTGGAAGCAGCAAGAGCTAAGGGGACAATCACCTACAAAGGAGTCCCCATCAGGCTGTCAGCAGATTTCTCAAAAGAGACCTTACAGGCAAGAAGGGGCTGGAAAGAAATATTCCAAGCCATGAAAACTAAAGACCTACAACCAAGATTGCTCTACCCAGCAAAACTTTCATTTAGAATGGAAGGACAGATAAGGTGCTTCTCAGATAAGACCAAATTCAAGGAGTTCATCATCACCAAGCCCTTATTATATGAAATGTTAAAGGGACTTATCTAAGAAAAAGAAGTTAAAGAAACATGAACAGTGAAAGGACAACAAGCTCACAGTTATCAACAACCACACCTAAAACGAAAGCAAACTAAAAGGACAGCTAGATTAGGAGTGGAAACATAGAAATGAAGATCTCAAGTAGGGTTAGCAACAGGGGAGTGGGAGGAGAAGACGGGGAGAGAAGGTACAGAAAACAAGTAGCATAGACAGTAGATAGAAAATAGATGGGGGGGCAAGAATAGTATGGGAAATACAGAACCTAAAGGACTTGAGACACATGGACATAAGCTAAAGGGGGGGTAATGGGGGGATTGGGGGGGCAGGGTGGAGGGGAATGAAGGGGGGAATAGAACAACTGTAACAGCATAAACAATTCAAAAAAATAAATAAATTTATTTAATTAAAAAAAAATATGGCCATTTAAGACAGAATGGCTGGAACTTGGGGTCATTGTGCTAAGTTAATAAATCAGAACAAGAAAGGTAAATACTCTGACTTCGCTTATATGTGAACAGTAAAGAAAAAAAATAGAACTCAGAGATTCAGAGAATAGATTGGTGGTTGCTAGAAGATGGGTGGGATTGGGGTGAATAGGTGAAGGTGGTAAAAAAATACTAGCACCCAGTTACAAAATAAAGCAGGGGTGTCAAACTCATTTTCACCAGGGGCCACATCAGCCTTGCAGTTGCCTCCAAAGGGCCGAATGTAATTTTAGGACTGTATAAATGCAACTACTCCTTAACAGTTAAGCACTGCCACTGGGTAGAAACAGGGTAGCGGGCCAGATTTGACCTGTGGGCCTTGTGTTTGCCACCTGTAAAATAAAGAATTCAGCCCTGGCTGGGTGGCTCAGTTGATTGGAGTGTTGTTCCAATGTGCCCCAGCTTTGGGTTCCATCCCCTGCCAGGGCACACGCAAGAGTCCACCAATGAGTGCATGGATGGATGGATGAGTGGAACAGCGTGTTGGTGCTTCTCTCTCACTTCCTCCCTCCCTCTCTGTCTAGAATCAATCAATGAAGAAAGAGAAAAACAGAAATCACGGCAATGTAATTATAGCATGGTGATGTGGAGAAGAAAGAAACTTTCCTCTATCCTCAAAATTCTTTGGCTGGTCTAATAATAATTAAATAGACATGAAAGAGTTTAGCAAGTGAAAATTACCAAATTTAATACGTATGTATGAGGACTCTGCATCCATTAGAGAATCAGACTCCACAGCACTACAGGTTCAAAACAGAAAGGTATTGGGGTATGTAACACATCCTAAGACATCCTGAGCGAGGGATGAAGGACGTTGCCTTGGGAGCTTTGAAGTATCATTGCAGGATGATTAAAAAAAGCAGATATTTAGTAAATAGTTTTCATGCCTTACAGATAAGTCAAAAGAGGTTATCTCTGATCATCTCTTATGGGCAAGGCCCCTAATTCCAATTCTTCTAGGTTGTTAAGGAAAGGGCCTAACTTTCTCTTGAGCTCCTGGCTGAAGTTGCCTTTAGCTCAGAACAGCCCCCACACCACATGTGCACATACTGGGGTGGCTCATATGAACCCCCACAGCAACTAACTGGTCAATAATACTCTACTGCATCTTTGAAAGTTGCTAAGACAGCAAATCTTTAAAGTTCTCATCACAGGAAAAAAAATTGGGACTATATGTGGTGATGGATGTTTAATTACTTCTTGTGGTGATCATTTTGTAATATATACATTTATAAAATTATTATGTTGTCCATCTGAAACTAATGTAATGTTACATGTCAGTTACAGCTGTCAACATGAGAAATGTCCAAACCTGTAGAGCATTTTTGTACGAGTTTATTTGATCTAAATTGACAACATGCCAGGCAGCAAGATCTCAAATGCTCTGGAGAACACTTTTGCAGCAGCAGGTCTTGAATTACAGGGTCGTTAACAAGATTATCTGCTTTCTTAAGGGAATCCTTTTAGAGAAGGATTATCTGCTTTCTTACACTTATTTCAAAGGTATATTAATTAACCTAGATCAAAAACAATGAAGAGGGCTTGCTTAATGCAAAGACAAACCTTTTACTAAAAAATTATAGGCCTGGGGCATGTCTACCCTCCAAAACCCACCCACTGGTGAATTTATGATCAGATTACCCTGTGAGGTTACTTTCCATAGACCCCCTTTTCCTTCCACATATCTCAATTTAAAAAGTTAGTGCTTGCTTTGGCAGCACATATAATAAAATTAGAACGATAGAGAGAGGATTAGTATGGCCCTTGTGCAAGGATGACACACAAATTCGTGGAGTGAAAAAAATATGATGCTCTCACCATGAGTGTATGAGAATACCCATGACTAGATCAGTGATTTGCACCCTTTTTCACCTCATGGCACACACAAGCTAATTACTAAAATTTGGTGACACACCAAAAAATATATTTTTTGTCAATCTGAGAAAAAATAGGTATAATTTTGATTGACTTGCCCCAGATGGCTATTCTGTTGGCTGTCACTTTTTAATTTGACAGTCTAAGGGAAAAGAGGTCAGTGCCCCTGTATAAATAAATAGTCAGATATTGCACATTTTGAAATTTCTTGGGGCATGTCAGTGTGCCTGCCATAGGACACCAGTTGAAAATCGCTGCTCTGTATCCTCAAAAGTTGTTGTCATACTTTTTATATTTTGCGAAATTCCTGAGTATAATAAAATAACATCTCATCGTGGTTTTAGTTTTGCAAGGTCTTAATTACTACTGAGGTTAAGCATGTCCTCATATGTTTATAAGCCATTTACAAGGTTTTTTTCCTTATGAATTTGTGGTTATGTAGTAAAGAATGTGATCTGTCCCCAAAAGAGGTCTGGCCTTTGCCATCAGCTCTTCATGGGTAATCTCTAAACCCCTGGAATGTCGCCCTGCTAGGGGGAGTGTCTTTGTTTGCCTGATAGACTAGTGATGTGATTGACGGTGCCATCTGTGGTAGTAGTTTTGAGTTATCATTTGAGTTTGGTATCACCTCAGCCTCCGACAGCTGCCGCCTGAAGTCAGCCACATGGGCAGTCAACCATGGAGCCCTTAGCAAAGACGCTGGAGACCAGGGTTTGGATGAGCTTCCTTAGCTGGCAACATTCCACGCATAACCATCGATGCTGGGGAAACAGTGCTGTCCTGATTCCAACCTCGAGCTCTGCATGTGGTCCTTTTGGGGACTGCCTTATGTGCTTTTGTTTCCCTGGCTCATTTTAATGTTTGTTTATTTGTTTGTTTGTTTGACTCAATAGGTCACTCTTTCTTTCCTTTTCAAAACATTTTATTTTTCAGTTACAGTTTACATTTAGTATTTTCCTATTAATTCCAGATATATACATTTTAGTCTTTTAAAGATCTTGAAGGCCTGTTGATTTTAATCCTTTCCCTGTGATAAACTGTAACTGTGAGCACAACAGCTTCCAGTGAGTTCTGTGAATCCTTTTAGAGAATTATCATCAAACCTGAGTGTGGTTTTGGGAAACTCCTGCACTGGCGGCTGGTCTCGGAAGTAAGGGTGGTTTTTGCGTTGTGCCCTCTAGGTTTGTAATAGTTGATGTTTTCTGTCCATATCCTATTGTGCTGATTATCTTGTTTAAAAATTTAGTTGTAGAAGTTATGATACATTCTTGGTATTAATCTTTTTTGTTGCTATGTGCATTGCATATATTTTTTAATGTTAAGATATAGATTTTATTTATTTATATAAGAATTTTTAAATAACTTTTTTTAGATTTACTTATTTTTTCTAGAAAGAGAAGGGAGGGAGGGAAACATCGATGTGTGAGGGATGTGCCCAACCAGGGAACTGGCCTGCAACCTAGTCATATGCCCTGAGTGGGGATCACACCACCAAAATTTTGGCTGGCAGGCTGGCAGGCTGGCACTCAATCCACTGAGCCACACCATCCAGGGCTATTCATTTATTTTTCGAAAGAAGGGAATGAAGGGAGAGAAACATCAATGTATGTGAGACAAACATTGATCAGTTGGCTCTTCCACTCCCTCAACGGGGGACCTCGCCTGTAACCCAGGCATGTGCCCTGACTGGGAATCGAATTTGCAACCTTTCTGTTCTTAGGCTGGTGCTCAGTTCAATGAGCCACACCAGCCAGTGCTTCACTGAATGTCTTTTCTCAACTCATTTTCCCCTGTTTTGCTGTCCACTGATAAATAGAAGAGTTTGGTTTGATTAGATGTCTGAATATTTTCATTTAAGATTTTTCTTTTCTTTTTTAAAAGATTTGCAATCCTTTCATTTATTTTTTCATTTTTATTTAATTAACTTTTGTTGTATTTTCCCATTACCAAGGGTTTTTGTTTTCTTTAAAATCTTATTTAAGAACTTCTCTCCTACTCCAGTTTCATAAAGATATTCTCTTATAGGAAATAAAAGTATAAATGTTTTGTTTTTCACAATAAGGTCTTTAATTTTTTTTGGAGTTAATTCTTTTGGTGTTTGGTGTGAGTTAGGAATCTCTATCAAAGAGAATTAGACTTGACTGCAAATAATATTGATTTAAAAAGCAGTGGCTTACATATATTGCACTAATATATATATATATATGTTTTCCTATGGATAATCGAATAATCCAGCACCATTTATTTATTAATACTCCATTCTTTCTCCAGTTATCTACAGCATGGACTTGATCATATTCTAAGCATCTGTCTCTGTGTATATCTGTTTCTGGGCTTTCCGTTCCACTTAATGAATTTATAGACATATCCTGCCAATTCCACACCATATTAGTTGCTGTGGGCTTATTTTGCATTTTGATATCTCATAGAACAAGCCATTTCATGCCTCTTGTTCTTCTTTAGGAATGTCTTGCTTCTCTTGACCTGTTGTTCTTGTATATAAATTTTAGAACCAGCATCTCATGTCGCTGTACAGAAAGAAGGACGAAGTTGCTATACAGAATGAAGTTGCTTTACAGAAAAAGTCTGTAAAAACTCTGTTACGAATTTGCAGATCAATTTAGGAACAACTGACATTGTTAGAATAATGAGAATTCTCTATGAATATGGTACATATCTGCATTTATTCAGGTCCTTTAAAAATTTATTTTGGGAAATGGACACATTTCTAGAAAAATATAATCTCCCAAAACTCAATGAAAAAGAAGTAGAACACCTGAATAGACCAATAACAGCAAAAGAAATTGAAGCAGTAATAAAAAAACTCCCGTCACACAAAAGCCCCGGACCAGATGGATTCACAGGAGAATTCTACAAAGCATTTAAGGAAGAGCTAACCCCCATTCTTCACAGACTATTCCAAAAAATCCAAAAGGATGGAAAACTCCCAAACTCCTTTTATGAAGCCAGCATCATCCTAATTCCAAAACCAGATAGAGATACAACAAAGAAAGAAAACTTCAGGCCAATATCGCTGATGAACATAGACACTAAAATCCTCAACAAAATATTGGCAAATCGCATCCAACAATATATCCAAAAGATTATACACCATGACCAAGTGGGATTCATCTGAGGGATGCAAGGATGGTTCAACATTCGCAAAACAGTAAATGTAATTCATCACATAAACAAAAGCAAAGACAAAAACCACATGATCATATCAATAGATGCAGAAAAAGCTTTCGATAAGGTACAACACCCATTTATGATAAAAACACTCAGCAAAATGGGAATAGAGGGAACATTCCTCAATATAATAAAGGCCATTTATGAGAGACCTACAGCCAATATCATACTCAATAGGCAAAAACTAATAGCTTTTCCACTAAGATCAGGAACAAGACAAGGATGTCCACCTTCACCACTTCTATTCAATATAGTATTAGAAGTTTTGGCCACAGCGATCAGGCAGGAAAAGGAAATAAAAGGCATCCAAATAGGAAAGGAGGAAACAAAACTGTCACTGTTTGCAGATGACATGATAGTGTACATGGAAAATCCTATAGACTCTACCCAAAAACTGCTCAAACTAATTAATGAATTTGGCAAAACAGCAGGATACAAAGTCAATATCCAGAAATCAAAGGCATTTTTGTATACAAACAATGAATCAGCAGAAGCAGAAATCAAGGAAAAAATCCCATTCGATATAGCAAAAAGAAAAATAAAATATCTGGGAATAAACCTAACCAAAGAGGTAAAAGACCTGTATGCAGAAAACTACACAGCACTGAAGAAAGAAATCAGGGAAGACACAAACAAATGGAAACATATACCGTGTTCATGGATTGGAAGAATTAACATCATCAAAATGTCCATACTACCCAAAGCAATATACAGATTCAATGCAATACCTATTAAAGTACCAATGGCGTATTTCACAGACATAGAACAAACACTTCAAAAATTTATATGGAATCATAAACGAGCCCGAATAGCAGCTGCTCTTTTGAGAAAGAAGAACAAAGTAGGAGGGATCACAATACCTGATATCAAACTGTATTACAAAGCCACTGTAATCAAAACAGCCTGGTACTGGCATAAAAACAGGCACATAGACCAATGGAACAGAACAGAGAGCCCAGAAATCAACCCAACCCTCTACAGTCAATTAATATTCGACAAAGGGGGCAGTAACATAAAATGGAGTAAAGATAGCCTCTTCAGCAAATGGTGTTGGGAGAACTGGACAGCTACGTGCAAAATAATGAAACTTGAGCACCAACTTACACCATACACCAAAATAAATTCAAGGTGGATAAAAGACTTAAATATAAGCCATGACACCATTAAAGTCCTAGAGGAGAACATTGGCAAGAAAATCTCAGATATTCCACGCAGCAACATTTTTACGGATATGTCCCCTAGAGCAAGGAATATAAAGGAAAGAATAAACAAATGGGATCTCATCAAAATAAAAAGCTTCTGCATGGCTAAACAAAACAGTATTAAATTAAAAAGACAACCAACTGTATGGGAAAACATATTTGCCAATGATACCTCAGACAAAGGTTTAATCTCCAAAATATACAAAGAACTTACAAGACTCCACTCTAGGAAGACATCGAACCCAATTAAAAAATGGGAAAAGGACTTGAACAGACACTTCTCTAAAGAGGACATACAGAATATCCAGAGACACATGAAGAGATGCTCAACATCATTAGCTATCAGAGAGATGCAAATTAAAACCACAATGAGATACCACTTTACACCAGTCAGGATGGCTATAATAGACAAAGCAACAAACAACAAATGTTGGAGAGGGTGTGGGGAAAAGGGGACCTTAGTTCACTGTTGGTGGGATTGCAGACTGGTACAACCATTATGGAAAACAGTATGGAATTTTCTCAGAAAAATAAAAATTGACC